AAAAAAAAAAAACAAAAATTATTTACGCATCTCTGATTTTTTTTTTTTTTTTTTTGTCAACTTCAATACTTATCCAATTGTATGTTGCGGTCAATTCTGCGTGCAGATTCTATGCATATTGGCGTTTTTTGTATTCAAATCAATTAATAATTATTTTTTCATCTATTTTTTACTCTTTTTTTTCTGCAGTTATTAATATTAACTTTGTTTGAGTTAGTTTTGAATAAACAAGTATTAAAAATAATTGTACTATTGTAACAAGCAACAAGTTTTATACTGCTATGGTGTTAAATAGTAAAAGAGATATCAGTAAAGAACCAGCTAAAAAAATTTCATCAGTTTTTAAAAAGTGGTATAACCGAAGGATGAAAGATCAAAAGTGAGAGATGGTGGGGGGAAAACGGAAAATGGAGAGGAGAATTATTTAGAAAATAAGAAAAAAAGAGTATCTGTTTATTTATTTATTTATTTTCAGCTTTTTTTTTTTATTCTTTGCTCAATTATAAACTATTAAGAACTGTGGAGGTTTTTTTTCCTGCATTTTTTGACAGAAATTAATACCCGCAATAATTGTTGGTGGTTGCTTCTGTCTGTTATCATAGTGTACAAAATGGTGGATATACAGTACGGTTGTCAAAAATGGCTATAAAATTCTATAAAATTTTTACATTTTTATATGCTCTTATCAATTATCATTTTTGTTTTTAATCGGTGTTATCGTTGTCGTTATCGCTGCTGTTTTTATTAGAACTGAAGTTGTTGAATATATCCGTTGAGTAATAAAAAAGGAAAAGGTGGAAAACGTAGCAGAAAGAAAGAGGTGTCAATTTGGGTGAAAAGTTGTTTGTTTCTTCTGAACAGTAAAGTTACTCAAAGTAATAGAAATAATTTTTCATTTCATCCTTGACTCTTCTTTTTTTTATTTTTTTTTTTGTTTTACAATAAAATTTTACACCTATTTTTATTCTGTAGTTAGTTGTTTGTACACTATTCTTGTTCAGAATTTTCTCTCTATCTACTCAAATTTATAACACCAAAACAGCAGCAACAGTTTTCAGCTACTGTTCAAACAGAAATGATGACAAGAAAAAAGATGACACACTTTAGTGGTTGCTAAACAAATAATCATCAACCAATTTTTTCTTCTGACTTTTATTCGTTTTTTTTTTTTTGAATTTTTAATTCCGATTTTTTTTTTGTTAATTAACAAATATTGAGAAGTTTAAGAACAAATTTTGTTAGACAAAGACGAAAAGGAAGAAACAAGAAAAAACTGAGAAATTTTGCAGCTAAAGTGCTCTACATTTTTTTTTGATAGTACTTAACAGTATTGGTGAATTTGTTTATTTGGAAGAATTTATAAATTTTAATAGATGATTTTTCCAAGAGGATTTTGTAGTTTTTTGCTTCTTGTGAAAGAGGGAGAAGAGGTTGGAGCAAAAAAAGAGGATATTCTTATCTGAGGAACAAAAAAAGAAAGAAGAATTTTAATGTTAAAAAGCCAATTTTTTCCTTAATTGCTGATTTAAGATTATTTCTTTTGTTCTGTGGCTTAAAAAATTTGGAAATTAGCATTCTAATACGCTAATTTTACCAATTTTAAGTCTAAATTTTCGATTGAAAGTGGAGAAATCTGGTTCTTTTTTTTTTTTTTGCTATAAAAAATTATCTTCAGCAATGCCTATTGCACAGTTCGAAGACTTCAATGTGACTTTGCCATATGACATTTCCAGATTCAAAATTTATGGTAGCCAAAAAAGGAAGTGCCAAAAGACAGATGGTTATCCTTTAAAAGCTTCTGACGTTATACTGGTTGAGCTCAAATGATGCCGATTGAACTGTTCAGTGGGATGTGGGTATTTGGCGTCACCCACCTTCGCCATTATATTGGTTGAAAAATTTGTTGACATAAAGTTTGTTTAGTGCTTTTTTCTGGCTCTTTTTTCTGCTCAACATCAATATTTGGGTAAAGTTTGTTTTCCTTTTAGTTTTCATTAAAAATTCAAAAATTTTCTGATTCTTTTTTTTTAGAGAAAAATCAGTTTGAATCAGTTTTAAACGAAGTGGAAAAACTAAAAGAAATGAATGTACTAATTAAAATAATTTTTACTGTCATATTCTGTATCCTCGATACTTCGCAGTTGAGACTGATGACAATAGTAGTAAACTGTATCTGCTCTTCAGCTTAATCATACTACGTTTGCTAAGTTTCTAATTCAGAAATCTCTCTTACGGCAACTAAAATCGGCTAAGCAAAAGTCATTCGTCATCAAACAGCATCTCATTAACGGTTTTCAACCACTTAAAAAAGCCCTTTAACCGGACAGCAACAATTTGATCGATAGCATCTCTTCTGTAAAGATCCTTACCAGAATGCCATTCTGTCACTTTTGCACAGAATTTGTTATAGCTAAAACTGTTTCATTGAAGCTGAACAGCAATAAAGAAACAATAATAGAAACAGTATAAAATTAATATAGAAAATGAAAAAAGAAAACTAACAAATTAAAAAGGCAGTTAAAACAGTGCCAATAGCCTCTATAAATGGTATTTTTTGTATAGACAATTCTATTTCAACAGAATTTCCTTTTTTCTATATTTTCTGCTGATTAAATCGTTTATTTTTTCATCTTGTTTTTTTTTTTCGCATCTTGGTATTTGTAGGTTTACACAACCTTCTTAGCTCTGTTTACATATCCATTCACTTCAGTAAAGCTAAACCGTTCGTTTCTGGCAGCAGCGGTCAGTTAACTGTTCCGTTGATTATGTCCAGCCCAAAAATTATTATTGTTTCTTTTTCTCACAGTTTTTTTAAAAATTTTTTTCTTGTACATTTTAAAAAAGTTTTTTTCTAATACGATTTTAGACAATATCTCTTTTTTTTTCAGTTGTTTTTATTTTATCAGTAAAATATTGCGGAAAGTTTCGCCTGCGTATTCGCTTTAATCTGTTTTCGATTTGGAGAGATGGATTTTGATTTTATGCTCATCTGTTTTGACGATCTTTGAACAGTGTTTATTCGGTTAGGCACAAAAAACCTATTATTGCATAGATCTTTTATAATTTTAAGGTTAGCCTTAACAATGGATATAATTGTCAGCCAGGTGTATTTGATTTAATTATTGCTACTCTTTATTACGTTTCTTTTATTGATACATCTGCTGAAGGAAAAACAAATATATAAACATAATATAATATACAAATATAAATTTATATATATATATATAAATGTACAGCATTTGACGACTTTTTTTACACATCATTTTAATGCTTGCCTTAATATTGTTTACTACCAAAAGTTTCAATGTGACGTAAGTTTTGATAAGAAATTATGTTTTATGCAAATTTAGTTTTTTTTTCGTCATTTTTTATTCAAATTTGTTTGACGTCTGAAATGCTGAAAATAAACTGCTTTTTTCCTTCCTGTATCATTTTCCCTTGCTGATTTTAATGCATAGGTTTATGCAAAAAGAAAGTTCTAAGCTTACTGTGACGTTGTAAACAATATAAGCTGGGCGATCAGTAACGGATTTGCAAGCACAAAAATAGTTTCTGACGACCATAACGCTATATTTGTTTCATTACAGATTGTCAAACAACCGAAAAATATTCTGAAATTTAGTTGTCAACTAAAAGTTTTAAAAAAAAGAGAAAAAGAAAGGAGGGAAAAAAACTAGAGGAAGAAATGCTGAAAGAATGCGAAAAAGATGATAATAATGATCCACCACCACCACCGTACAGCCCACAGCGACCCCCACCGCCGTATGCACTGCAAAATACGTTGACCGAAACGAAGGAAAGTCGTGGTCGAGTAGCACCAACTCCATTTACTCCATTTTCAACTGGAAGTACTGCAACGGTATACCCACGTCCGTCTTCGCCGCCAACGTCAATTGTAAGCACCTCAGGTGGTGTCAATCCATCATCAGATGGCAATTCGACGACAATTGTTCACTGTTATCATCCAAAAAAAGCAGTCACTGCCGAACCACATGAAGAATTCTGTCCAAAATGTCAGGTATGTGGAATCTTAATAAGATAATCCTCAGTTCACTTCATTGATTTTTTGAAAATTTCGACATTTTTCTTGGGTATTCTAATTTGTTACTATAATGAAGATAAGTTTGTTAGTAGGATTGAGGGACGGGGAAAAGGAGAAGAAAAAAGGTTTCTTGGAGTTTGATGTGTTGATTTCGGCCGAAAATGAAAATCAGTAGTTATTGAAATACCTTTGCTACGGTTACTGTATTCTTTTTCTTATGAATGAATAATAATTGCTTGAAAAAAATTTTTATTTTGAATCTTTTTTATCTTCTCACTAAATTTATAGTAATGGGAAAAAAAGCTTAAACAACAAAGAAAAATTCGCATTTAATAGGAAATATTCAGCATGAATATTTAGTTTTAATTCTTAAAATGTTATAAAAGTTACAAATTTTATTAGTTATTTTAGTAGCTATTTGAAACAGTTTACAATTGTAAATTTTTCTTGTAACTGTATCTGTAGCATAAACACTAGGTAGTTGTCAGTTTGTTGGGATGACTTTGGAAACTAAAACAGTTGGCAAATGTTTCGGCTGCGACAACGCAACTACAACGTTGATAAAGAGGAAATCTTAGACAACAAAATGATAATTATCATACTTATTATAAATTATTTGTTATATTGAAGAGAGGTTTCTTTTCAGTGTCGATGTCGAACAAGGCAAAAATTTATCTCCGGACGATTAACATGGCTATTGGCATTCATTATATTACTGGTATTCTTTCCATTAGCATTTCTACCATTTTTGATCAGATCCTGCAAAGATGTACATCACTATTGCCCAAAATGTAATATGTTATTGTCAATAAAACGGAGGTTTTTCTTTTAATATTTATGTATATGTGTTGTTAAAATTTTGAAAGAAATGTTGAACATTTTTTTCTACACTAATTCTATCAATTTTACAGTCAAAAAATTTATCAGTAAACTGATTTATTTAGTCTAGCACTTCAAAAGAAAAATGCTGTACATGTATACGTCTTCTACTTTCTTCTTCCTTTTATTTTACTTCATTTTTGCACTTATTATTTCCTAAAGAATATAATCTAGAAAAAAAAATTATTTCTAAGTTCAAGTTCTTTTTCTTTTAAAAAATCATTTTTAAAACGGGGATAAAAACAAAAGCAGCAGAAAAACAAAAAGTCATTAGTTTTTCTTTGATTGTATCAAATTGCTTATGTGTTGGCTTATTTAAATTTTTACTTATTTATAATTTTTTTCAACTATAAATATTGCTTTTTTTTTTGTGTGTGTGTATACTGTCACTTTATTTTAAATTTAGTCCAAATTACTTGGTTCAATAATACATGACAATTGTTGTATTACTGTTATTGCTGTTACTATTAGTAACGTGAAAAAAAAAA